AGTCCTGCCGGCATCTCTACATGGCAACTACGACAAATCGTCAAAATAGGTAAGGCTTTCCACGCAGATAGAAATGTGAACTTTGGATGCTCAAGTTCTCCGAAACTTTGGTGCTCGTTCTTTTCTCTGGTCTTGTGGATTGCTTACTACGAATTCGGCATTACGGAACTGAACTCGTACATGGACGACTCGTGGGGCTCAGACCTGACTTCCTCCCTCGTCAACTTCAAAGGTAGGAGTATTCCTCGAAATCAAGCAAAATTCCTCACCATCTTCGACTATATCGGTCTACCGTGGGCTTGGGAGAAACAGCTCCACGGTACGGTGCTAGAAGTAATCGGCCACACCATCGATTGCGACAAGCTTTCAATCACACTGTCTGAAAAGAAACGGTCAGAACTTATCTCCGCCCTATGACTATTCACCTCAAAGATCTCCCATCCCCTGGTGGAATGGCAGCGCCTAACAGGCTGGGCCAACTGGGCGCTGAACATCTTCCCTCTGGGAAGATGGTCGATTCAGTCCTCTTGGGACAAGATGTCGGGTAAATCAATTCGCAGCGCTCACATCCCATTGAACCGAACCAACAAAGATGATCTCAACTGGCTGACCAATGCACTGGAAGCCTGGGAAGGAAGGTTGGTCTTAGAAAACCTCCACTGGCCGCTCAAAGCGGCAGACTGCGTCTTTTTCTGTGATGCATGTCCAGTCGGCCTTGGCATATGGCGCCCGGCCACAGCCATGGGATGGTGTTACTCCCTGCCGCCCCCAGCCCGTAACATTTACTGGGCCGAGCTTCTGGCGGTTACCTTGGCAATAAAGCTGGCATCCAGCATTAAGGCAAGGAAAGTGCTTATCTTCACGGACAATGAGTCGGTATCACACCTATTCAGCTCCCACAAGCCAATACCGTTGATCAGAACTGTCTTTAAGTTCGCGGTAAACCTAATGTTGGACAAAAAAATGGACGTGAAAGTGCGTCACATATCGAACGAGGATAACAAGGTAGCCGACTCGATCTCTAGGTTCTTGGCTGACAGAACAAAGGCCCTAGCTCCTAACGTTACGGTAATCAACATCGAACCGGAACCGGAATTGCTTGTTGGAGGTTGCACAAGCCGGTCGTTCCTCTCGACGGCTTGATTCCCCCAAAAAACCGTTTCTCTCTTTCTCTCTTAATACACTTCACAAAACAAATAAAAATAAAAAATAAAAAAAATCTATTTTTTCTTCGTTTCCGTTTCTACACTGTCTAGTTCACCGTCTCACTTCGCTCGAAAGTTGTAAAACACCACATAAAAAACCTCACGGTCAGCTCCTCCTCAAAACCTGCTTGACCGATCCGAACTATTTATCCTAAAAACCATCCGACTCAACGCCGGAAAATGAAAAAAGCAAAACGTCCGCCTAAAAAGCTCAGTTTTCAGGAACTCGAAGCTATGAACAAGGACGATATAGACCATCATCTCGAACCAAACTCGAAAGCAAAGTACGAGTCAGGGGCGAGACGATTCGCCAAGTTTTGTGAAAACCAAGGCAAGGACTTCTACCCAAGCGAAACCAACCTTTGCCACTTCATTTCGGTGGTATCGCGAGAACTCTTGCCATCAACGGTAAGCAAGTATCTCACAGGAATCGCATTCATCTTTCGCGAACGCTACCCTTGGGTGGACCAAGTCAGGAACTCACAACGAGTCAGGAAAACGCTCCGCGGCTGCAAGAAGCTCTTTACCCTCCCGGTCACTCAGGCAAACCCTTTCACAATGAGCGATGTACGCACTTGCGCTGAAGAATACAATTCCTCCTTCGACGACGCCCTTTTCAATGCAATTGTAGCATTAGGGTTCTCCGCACTCCACCGTCTAGGTGAACTCGTCGTCCCAGATTCTTTAAAACTCCAAAACCCTCGCAAATGCATACGCAGATCTTCCCTCGTGTTCTCGGTGTGTGGTACCGTCGCCTGCTACAACCTCCCATACCACAAAGCCGACCCCGACTTCAATGGCACGCCAGTATCCATCGTTCGACGAGAATACAAGGACACGTGCCCAGTCAATACCTTACTATTCTACGCGGTGTGGCGCGATCGTTGCTTCCCATGCGAACCGATGCTCTTTATGCGCGAAAACGGTTGCCAGCCCACCAGAACATGGTTCATCCAACGTCTTCAAGCAATTTTTAACAAAACACGCTCAGGTCACTCGCTGCGCGCAGGCGGCGCCACGTGTTACGCACAAAGCGGCATGGAACACGAAACCATCCGCCAAATCGGCAGATGGTCATCAAACGCCTGGGAAACTTACATCAGAAGTCACCCGCTGTTGAACCTAAGAAAGACCCAGTGCTTCGCACAGACCTCGGGACTGTCTATAGGAGAGCAGGTGGAATTCCCAAGAGCAGCTCTCGTAAGCCTCTAATCGAACTCCTTGCCCCTGTACCCCAAGCCTCATGCAACCGTCAGATGACTGACCGTTCGCAATCATATTGCCTTCTCTCCCACAGCCGTGGACCAGAACCAGGCCAATAGCCCCCCTTGACGAACCCAGTTGGGGTCAGCGTAGAGTAAGTCGTCACGACCTTATCTCTGTAAAATCTTGCTAATCAAAGACCTCATGTTGCAGAGTCTTCGTCATAGGAACCAGCCACCGGCGGATTCCTAGGAAAATGTCGACTACGTCGCTTTTCAAAAACACCCGTTAGTCACTCATGACATGTCTAACGAGGTGCAAAACATGTGACGCTAACAAAATATCTCGGGCATACTCCTGAATTTTTTACAACGCGCACAACTACGACGCTACAGAGTTCAACACCATTCGTCCAAGAGGACTCTCACATCTCCACTCTACAATTACCATCACCACTCTTCCACTACGAGGGCGGTTGAACTCTCATGTGTCGTCAGTTTATGTCAGGTTTCGAAAAACCAGTTTTTTCTATTTCTTTTCTTTCTTAGTCTTTACCAGCGTCCCGTCATCTCATGCACGCTAATAAGACTCATTTGCCTCACGGCAGTCAAGCGTAAACCAGTGGTTGATCTGCCAGAGCCCAGACCCATTCCTGGGAGTCGGTACGCGTATTGACATACGGGAATGGGGTCGAAAAGGCGTCCGGGTAGTGAAAACACGCAGGGTGGAACCATAACGTCCCATACTCTCCGGCGGAGATACTTCCATCTCACGTGCCGGCAGAGGATGGACGTTAGGATGCAATGAGCGTTAAAAAATTATTTCCCTATAATTCCTGTCCTCTGTCGAGAAGCTCATTTGTCCCACTTAGAAATTTCTTTACAAAAATTATCAGTCCGCCCAATTCTCTTTTCACTATAGCCTTTTTTCTCTTATTCAGTCTTATATAAAAACGAAAAATATCCAACCTTTTTTGTTGACCTCCCGCCCGCCCAAACTACTTAAAGATGGAAAACTGTTACCTTCTGTCATCCTCTATTATATAAAAATTTTTCATTGTTGTTCGACAAAACTTGTTAGTCACCTAAAACATTCCGCCCACTGAACTCTCATGTGTCGTCAGTTTATGTCAGGTTTCGAAAAACCAGTTTTTTCTATTTCTTTTCTTTCTTAGTCTTTACCAGCGTCCCGTCATCTCATGCACGCTAATAAGACTCATTTGCCTCACGGCAGTCAAGCGTAAACCAGTGGTTGATCTGCCAGAGCCCAGACCCATTCCCGTCAGGAAATGTTATCCGTCGGAGTAGGATATCACATCGTCCCTTTTTGGGATGGATATGGACCCTAGGTTTGACCAATTTGGGTTTGATATGTTTGAGATGGCTGGCTACAATACCAAAACAAGCGATGTCAAGATGTGCCCGTTGCCCATGATGGATTTGAAGACGATGCAAGAAGAAAACACAGACACCTTACAGACAAGGCCATTCAACGCAGTTGTAAAATCTTTCCGAAGCTGGTCATTCACAGTTACTCCAGGCTGCTTTCCCTGCAGATTCGAAGGTTGGCGTCTGGTGGCAAACCGGTCAAATCGCTCGAGAAGGTGGTTTCGTGTGGAGAATGAGGTCAGGTATACGTGATCCAAGCTGAACTCTTTAGACCACCCAGCGGAAGGATTTGTTGTGGTGGGAGTCCATGATGCGGTGAGGAGATGGTAGTGTATGCCGTAGCTCTTATGAGTAGCTTGAAGCTGTGAGTATTTCAAATATGTCAGTAACTTGGCCAATGATGAATAGTAATTGTTGGTGCACAGAGATGAATGTATTAACTCGATTTGGCAAACACCTTTTTGTTGGTACTTTGCACTGTCATTGGGGTGCCGGTTCAAAGCGAGGTGATCTTTGACTTTCTTGATATTAACAAGTCGGTGAAAGGTGGAAAGATACTCCTCTTCTTCGACATTTAGCTGTTCATGCACATCAAGGTCGGCGGAGTCATTTGAAATAACTAGGGCAATACGATTGAAGAGGTTGTTTTCAAACACCTTTCCATCGGGAGTATTCTTGATTTCTTGCCTTATAGCCCATACTCTGTTGTTGTAGGTGCCGAGGAGTGCCTTTGTTTCTTCTTCTTTGTCGACGTGGTTTTGCACAGTTTGAGGCACTGAGATTTGAACCTTTCAATGAGCAACTCGTAGGGGTTGCAGCAACATCGGGAGTTTGAGTGGAGCTAAGCTTACTGATGTTGTCGACAGTGGCTGCCACACTATACTTGCGGAAATTGTGGTATGGCTTTTGGTTATCATCCCGCACCATGCGATGACTGCATGAAAAGTCCAAGTCAATCAGGATGAGTCATGAAACTAGTTAGGTTACGGATGACTAACACCCCATATTTTAGTGTGTCATAAGAAACTCCACCGGCAAGGCTTAAGACTTTCATCCTTGTAGCTAATTCGTCTTCAAGTGCGCGGGCTTCGTTGAGGATATCTGGGGGTATTCAACTGTTGCCTAGAGCCTTGGTGCATTGGAGGTAGTGATTAAGCTCCTCTGAATTCCATTCATCGGCAAGTTCTTTATCATTGTGGAGTGTTGGTTTGGTTGTGGGCATTTTGGGAAGTTTCAAGCCGTTTTCATCCAGTGGGATCAAGGAGGGGTCAGGAGGCAAAAGGTCATCATGATTGGCCAGGGGGTTAGAGGTCTTCTTGGACTTAATACGTCTCTTTTGCTTCTTCTTGGTGGGTTGGCCTGATGTGACAGTAAATTGGTAAGACATTCAACAGGCATCAGGTCACTGAGGGAACGGCAAACTGTACCTTCATTGGAGTCTGGTTTGGTTTCAGGCTGTGAATCTTCTATGTCAGATTGACCTTTGTCATCGGATTGATCTGAGTCATCGGATTGATCTAACTCTGGGTCTCGATATGATATCAGGTAAGTCACACACAGTCAACAATGAAGTTTGCCTTACCTTTGTACTCGGAAGATTCTGGAGATTGTCCTTTGTCGTCTAATAGGGCCTGTCAGTGAAGAATAATGATCATGTAATGCAATGAAATGGAAGTACCTGGCTCAGTATCAATCTGCCTGCTCTGCCTTTGCCGAATACCACGGGTGATAGGACCGGCGCGGGTGCTGGTGCTAGGTGACTTCCGCTTTTTGGACCTGGGAGGTACCATTTAGATGGGGAGTATTAGCGATAAGGCTTGCGGATAAAGATTTAACAAATGAGAAGATAACTATTGGTGTCTTTTTCTTTGATTGGTGGAGCTAGGTGAGACCTTTTTGTAACAAATATGAGGGTTGGTACGAAGATGAAGAAAGTTTGACAGTGGTTGGCAAACTCGGAAGATAGACATGGTGTTTTTTTAAGGAGTGTACATTTGCTACGCTAGCGTGGTAGCACCGCCAATTCCAATCCGAGGTATTATCGGATTACCAACCTCCGACAGAAGCTGTCCGAGGTTTTCATCCGAGGCAACTCCCAGCGCAGACGATTACCTCGGACAAAAACCTCGGACAGACCTTGTCCGAGGTTTTACCTCCGATGATGCCTCGGATTCCGCAACCCGAGGCATCTATGTTGGCAGTGTAGGGGTGAGGTTACACTAGTGGGGTATGTACTGTGAGTAGGGAGATTATGTATTGATACAGATGAACATTTCCGTTGGGAATGGCCGTGCGTTGCTGGTTCATTGCGATGAAGAATCAATTACAACACCTTGTGAGAAATCGAATCAAACGCTTCCAAACACTAACACAAACAGACTGATTTCATTATCTCACGTCACTGACTATCGGCAAAGCAAAAGATTGAAGCCTGGTATTTGCTTAGACCAAGCAGTTGGTTGGTTTGATCGCGTGAGCTGTCTAGTTGTTAAATTACTTATCAGAAGGCTTTGAAATTGTTTGATGAGAGGTGTTATTCATGAATAACACCTCTTGTTGTCCATTCTTTAGTTTCAGTGGGCTCATTTGTTTTAAATGAGGTGGTTACTTATTTTATGTGACCGCCTGTTTGAGGCGGTATTCTTACACCGCCTGACGGCGGTTAATGGTAACTCACCCTACTCTACTCTTGCCTCGATGGTGAGAGTAGAGCTATGTGGGAGAAGCCGGAGGCCCGCTCCTCGGATGGTTTTCTAAAACCAACTCTCGAGCGCGGGCTGCTTTCAGCGCTGCCCACCCGCCCTCCATTAGGTTCCGAGATGGGTTGTCAGACATTCCCTCTACCAAGACCGGTTCGCGAGGAAATTTACCGTCCTTGGCCTGGAGGACAATCCCATCTACGGTATATTACTCAGGGGAATGGAGGGGACCACCTGAACACTTAAGTCTGAACCCTATACCATAGGGTCATACAGAGGGTCATATGACCCAATGGCATTGGAGGCCGCACTGCCAAGATGTAAGAGCATCTTAAGAAGCATCTTGGAGGGATCAAAATCTGGCTAAGTCCACACTTCCCTAAGGGAGACTCTTGCATCCGCTGTCTACACCACACATGTACCACACCCCCTCATAACCACTCCACCACCCTTGGGCCCAACCTCACCAGGCCTGTACCTACCCAACCTACACGTAAATACTCCACCCCTATTGAGCCCATATCCACCAGCTCTGTACTTATCCCACCACCCCATCACTAAACTCCCCGGTGTAATTGAATCGAATTTTGGAACAACACATACATCACCACCACCCCCAGCAAGAGATCACCTACCTCTCTTCCCTCAGCCCGTCAATTGGTTTGCTTGCTTTCCACTCATCACCAGCACCTCGCCACTGACACAAACCCACCAAAAAGGAATGATGCGATCAACAGGTATTTGCCATGTGATGTGACTACATAGCCGTATGCTTCATTGGTGTGCTTTGTGTAAACCCTTATCGAACAATCCTGTTGACTAACTGTACCAAGACTCTTACATCGATTGAATAACTTGTCGCCACGACCCAAAGTTAACATCCCTCGTCACTCAAACTTGACATTGTCACCCAAGTTTTCACTCTCGGTCACATTGAAGATTGCTTTCTAAAAACATTCTATCTACAAAGTAGAAATGCACTTTTGCTTGCTTGAATCCCATCCAATGTGAATTGCTAATTTTTTCTAGTTTGTGGCAAAGGATTTTGATTGTGTCGTTCTTTTCTGTGTACTTTCAAAACTCAAAATGAATGGCGAATTGGTGGAAATTTGCATTCAATTGCACCGGTGTTCGATTGACTGTATCAATCGGGATTTATGTATCA